AATCCTCACTAGAAAGACTCCATGAGTGCAAGTGATGGACAAGATCTCCATTAAAAAAATCTCAGTTGACTATAAGTCTCAGAAGATACTTCAAAAAACCTCAAAAAGACTTATTGAGAACAAGAGATTGACACTCCACTCATAAAAATTTAGAATATTATAAGCCTCAAAAGGTACATATACATTAAAAATCTCAAAAGGTATATGTACATAAAAGAATCTCAGAAGACTATAAGTCTCAGAAGATACAAGCACATCAAAAAATCTCAGAAGGCTATAAGCTTTAGAAGGTACATGTATGTTTAAAATCTTGAAAGGTTATAAGCATCAAGAGTTACAGGTACCCCGTAAAAAATTTAAAGGGGCTATAAGCCTTAGAAAATATAAATCTTAAAAGAGTTCGATGTTACTATGCTCTTACTATGAGGCAATAAGTTAAATGTAATATATTTGATTTCTGCCAAGACGTTTAATATTTTTTGTCTTCTTTAGGGTGCAAGTTGTAAGGAATCAACATTCTTACCTCAAGCAACAACATTCCAAAAGAAATTGACATAAACCACCTCAATGTATGGAGCCAATGACAACCCAAATGCTAGGCAATAGTAGCCTAGAGGTTTGGCAACACTAGCTCAAGAAATGGGACACCACCTGCCCAGGAGATGGGGCAACGCCTAACAAGAAGTGGGGCAACACCAGCCCAAAAAAAAGCAATATTTACTTAGGAGGTGGGGCAATGACAACTTGGGAGTTGTTCTGACGATAACCTAGGAGTATGGCGACGACAACACGGGAGTTGGGCAATGGAAACCTTGGAGTTGGACGAAGGCAGCCCAAGAGTTGGGGCGACAATAACCTAGATGTTGGGCAATAGTAGCCTAGATATTGGGCAACAACAACCTAGATGGGGCAATGACAACCTGGGAGTTGTTCTGACGACAACCTTAGGAGTATGGCGATGACAACACGGGAGTTGGGCAATGGCAACCTTGGAGTTGGACCAAGGCAGCCCAAGAGTTGGGGCGACAATAACCTAGATGTTGGGCAATAGTAGCCTAGATATTGGGCAACAACAACCTAGATGTTGGTTAAAAACACCTTATATGTGAGGTAACAACAGCCTAGAAGTTGGGCAACGACAACCAAAAAGTTGGGTGATAGCAGCCTAGAAGTTGGGCAATAATGACATAAAAGTTTGGGCAATAACCATCCCAAAAGGCAGTGCAACTACAACCTAGAAGGTCAACGATAACCCAAAGGTTGCGCGACACAGATGCAAAAAGAGGCACAATACCTGACAAAGTGACTCCAGGGTTGCATAACACTAGTGCAGAAAGACACATAACAGGCCAAGGGGCTCCAAGTGACAATTCACCCTAAGAAAGGAAAGTGTCTCAAGAGTTGGGGCGGCAATAACCTAGATGTTGGGCAATAGTAGCCTAGATATTGGGCAACAACAACCTAGATGTTGGGTAAAAACACCTTATATGTGAGGTAACAACAGCCTAGAAGTTGGGCAACGACAACCAAAAAGTTGGGTGATAGCAGCCTAGAAGTTGGGCAATGATGACATAAAAGTTTGGGCAATAACCATCCCAAAAGGCAGTGCAACTACAGCCTAGAAGGTTAACGATAACCCAAAGGTTGCGCGACACAGATGCAAAAAGAGGCACAATACCTGACAAAGTGACTCCAGGGTTGCATAACACTAGTGCAGAAAGACACATAACAGGCCAAGGGGCTCCAAGTGACAATTCACCCTAAGAAAGGAAAGTGTGTCTTCTCCTCTCCCTTCTGACCCAATTTATATGCAAGAAATTTTTTTTTTTGCACCAAAATTGAATTTTTTGAAAAAATTCAATAAAAATCATAAATTTGCTTCTGGACAGCCTATGGGTGGATGGCGCACGTAGACGGTCGTCTTCCATGGATCCACACGATTCTATTTAGTCCTCACTCATTAGCCCATATTGCTTCGCCCTGTCCCAAATGATCTGACCCATGCAGAATTTTTTGTGCAGCTTTTGCACTACTTGACGCCACAGACAACAAAATCAACCTCACCTAAAAATAGGGGATAATTGATACATCATTAAACAATTTTCATTTAGCATGAATCTTGAGAAATAAAAGGAGACATTCTATAATGACAATTGTGCTAAATGACAATTGTTTGCTTGAGAAATAATTTAGTGTGAATGACTTTCAACACATCCAATGGAGAGGGTGTTCAAGAGATGTGATATAATTGAGAGAAGAGATTCCTGACTCTTAAGATATTACATATCTTTTAGTGAATTTATCGAGTATATGTAACTAATAATTAGTAGTTTCTTATGATTGATGTCTATTTTCTATTCCATGTTTTAAGATTTTAGTTTTTAAAGTTATGACTTCAAAGTAGTATATTTTTTCTTGTTTTTTTTTTATTACGAACCCTAATATTTTTTTTTGTTATATTGCATATGTAATCTAATTTGTGAATTAAAAGCAAAACGTATTACAATCTCAAAAAAAATGAGTTCAAGGTCATCAAGTATTTCAAGAGTTTTGCACTGTCATTATGATATGCAGTATTTTGAATGCACATTAAGAAGAGAAGGGAGCTATAAAAGGAGATTTTATTGGTGTCTCAAAAATAGGAATGTGAAGAATGCATGTTTGTTTGACTGATGATATGGAGGAGTTCACACCATATGTAATCTAATTTGTGAATTAAAATCATAACGTATTACAATCTCAAAAAAAATGAGTTCAAGGTCATCAAGTATTTCAAGAGTTTTGCACTGTCATTATGGTATGCAGTGTTTTGAATGCACATCAAAAAGAGAAGATAACTATAACAGGAGATTTTATTGGTATCTCAGAAATAGGAATCTGAAGAATACATGTTTGTTTGACTGATGACATGGAGGAGTTCACTCCATATAGTGACCAAGTCGGGACATTCTATGGAAAGAAATTTTTCTGGAAGACTTGATAGTCTGGACATGAAGGTTAACGTCATTATAGCATTTATTGTTATTTTTACAATTTTTAGTATTGTGGTATTATGCGTAAAGTAATGTCATAAAATTGATATAACTGGGAAATTAAACTTCTAATGTGTTTTTTTTTATTATTAAAATTGTTTCTGGTATTCTGTTATAATTATTTTTAAAACTACAGTCATTCAACTAATTAACATCTATAAGAGCATGTTTTTCAATTAGAAAAAGCAGCAACGCCGCAGATTATTCAATTAGACAGACTGCTACTCCAACAACAGCTGCTACTCCAACCGCTTCTTAAAAAAATAACAGCCACACCAAACACACCTTAATTCAAGTGTTTTCTGGACAGAATACCCGATGAGAACTTTTAGCCTCTGTAGCCGCTAACTACTGTCGACCACCACCAATCGACCGTCGACACCCCTACTCACCGCCGTTGGTGAATCTATGAAGTAACGAAGTATCCTGTTGAGTAATGATAGACTCTGTTGAGGGTGTATTCAGAATACACTGATAACACCCAAGGACAATTGCTCTTAAGCATTGTATTCAGAATACAAAGAACATTTCTATAAATATGTATAGACAAATATTGTATTTGGTGTAGCATTGTAACTATTTTTTAGTTGCAGGATAAGGGTCAATCTTTATACTTTCAAACTTATAGTAGATCATTTTAATTTGATTTGACCCCCATGATTTTTTCCCTTACCAAGTTTTCCACCTAAAAAGTCTTTCTCCTGTTACTTTCTTTTTATCTATATATATATTGGATTTCGTACAACGTTGAGATGTTAAATTATCATTCTACCGTCCCGAATCTTTCGGTACTCATGAGGAAGATTAATAAGAACTTGTTGAAAAAAAAGAGAGTAAAGAAGGAATATAAGCGAGACCTCCATAATAATCAACCTCCTCAATGAGCACCACACACAGCCAATGACTCCTAGAGCATTTTTCTTATCTTGAATTCAGAAGGATGGAGAATTTTGGATCCAAGCACCGACATTGAAATGAATTGTAGGACCAACATTAAGAACATCAGGAGAATTTAACAATACTTTCATATGCATCATCCTTAACAGGAGCCCTCTCATGAATGATCTTCATCACTACCATCCAGAGAATGTTAGGCTTCGTCTTTCACTCCATTCTTGTAGTTCTTAAAGGTTTTAGTTGTTCGTTCTTCTTATCGTTCTTAGTCTGTCTTTTAAAGCATGTTCAAAAAGACCATAAAAGAATTGATTTTTTTTAATTTTAATTCCAGTTAGAAATGAAAGCTTAAAATTTAAAGGTTGACTTAATCAAACACAAGCTTAAATCTATAAGCTATTTATTATCATTCAAACAAAGTCATTTTGAGATTTTTAGTTTATTGGTAGGATCGTACACATTAACCAAAAACATATGGTACAGTCAGATCATATAAATGGTGTTGATCATGTAACCATTATAATCTATTTAATGATTGTCCCTCTGTCGATTATAGGTTAGTAATTAGTAAAAGTATTCTTACTTGAAGGAAAATGGTTCTTCTCTGATCATACTGTATGTTTAATAAGTTAGAGACAATCAACTATAAATTCACTGAAATTTCTTATAACCGTACAGAGATTTCCAAATCCCTGTATATTAATTTCCATCATCTTTTAAATTTTGCATTTAACAATTTTCTTATTTTCTTATTTGCTAATTTTGCTTATTGAAATTCAAAAATTAGCCTTGAAACTGTCCTTTTTTTTAATTTTTTTGCGGCCTAGAACTTTTAAACAAATATGCAGGACTTTGCCAACACAATTTTGAACTGCTTTGAAGACTCATCTGGTTTTGGATTGTATTATACCTTCATCGTGCATCTATATGGATAATATCATTACTTTTGTAATATACGATGGAACTAAAAGCATAAATTGTACTGCTTTTATTGGACTAAAAAATATATATATCATATGCGTATATAAGTTGAGCCTAGAGATGAGGGGTAAAATCTAATTTTGATTATTGCAGGGGATGAGAACATATGATTACATCTTAGCCATGAGAGGAGAGAGCCAATCCATTGATCCTTTCGATGATTCTGATCTGTCTTCAGATGATAGTGACTATGACGACACGCCAGAAAAGCCAAAGTTTCTTTCCAGACTCTTTTGCAAAGATCATGGAAAAAATCAGGTAATTACACTCCTTAAATATATCATTCTATAAGTTCCATGCAAATGCTTTTGAAAGAAATTTTTTATGTTACAAAAGGAAAAACATTATATATTTTACAGAGCAGTCAAAAATTATCTATTCTAGTTGAAAAAACGTCCAGTCCAACCAATTCAGCAAAGCCTGAAATCCGAATAGATCCCTGGAAATTAATAAAGATGAGCAAAGAGAGCGCAAAAATGGCAACAGAAAAAGCAAGAGAAAGACTGCTGAGACAGAAGGAAGGGAAATCGGTTTCACCATTGAAACCATTGCCATTGGAGAGTAAGAAGGGACCAACAGTTAACAAAGAGATCAGGAAGGTGTCTGCTAGCTGCGAGATAACCCCAGTTGTCTCAAATCCATGGATTTCAGGCTCCACAGGAGGGAGGTTGTCCAGTCCAAGGAGAAGGTTTTCTGGTTCACCATCACCAAGGCCACAGAAGTATAGAAGTAAGTTTGATCTCAAATTGACTGAGGTCTCAAGAGAACTTGAGACGTACATATCAAGGCAAGTGCTGTGCTCTGTTTTAAAGAAGAATGGGGAAGATGACGCTTCTCCAAGATACGGCCTTTGAATTTTGACTAATATTCCATAGCAACTTTTTCCTTGTTGAACAAAAAAAGAAACATTTTCCTTGTTGACAGTTTTTAGTTTTTTTCAGCTTTTAGTGGAGGTTGGATTTGAATTTCACTTCTGACGAATTGTGTAAATTAAATGTTATGGCATAATTGAGCTAATTTGGGAAAGAGAACAAATGAGCTCTATAAATTTCTTATTTAAACTATGATGTTTGTGGGATATAGGATTTTTTTGGTTGGCATGATTAAATTTCTTTTAAATTTTCCCAGAATTGTTTCCCGCGATCATGCATAAGAACCTTCAATCGTTCTTATGATTTCTATGAAGAAAAACAGTGCTTTTTTCTTATTTCTGATAGATGCAATCTGTTCAGAAACAATTGCATGCCAATGCTTTTGAAAAGCTGTAGGTAGTTTGTTAACGTGAGATAAGTCAAATAATAATGACCCTACAATCAATCTCTTTTGTGCTACTTCAGTGTTGAGAACATAAGAATTGAAGATCCTTCTGTACCATTTCGGTTTATAGAAGAGAAGTCCCATTATGAAGCGTAACCAAAATTAAAGCGAAAATTGAGGGAAACGAACAATTAGCAAATTTTATTATTTCATCCAAATCTGGCTGGCTGAAGCTGACTGCACGCATGTAATCATTCTCTTATGAGAAAAAATTCATATCATATCCATAAATAATAGGAGTGTGCACCTTTTATCGTTGAGATAACCATTGATCTCACCGGTTTAAACTTGAGATAACCATTCAAAATGCAAAAGATACAAAAGTCTTGTCATTTCTAGCAATCTCTTAAGATGTTCCAAACTTGTTTCAAACTTTTCATCAAAACATAGCACCCTAGCTTCTCAAGAAACTTAATAATAAAACCATATTCAAAGAAATCAAAAAATGCCATCATTTTTTTTTTTTTTGACTAATGACATCCTAATCTATGAACAGAGATCATAAACAAAGATATATGCAGTAAACAGTCATCTACAAAGATGCCAACGTCACATAGGAGCTAATAGAGCAGTCTCCAGCATCTAAACCTGGAGAATAACAAACAGAAGAGTCATTGGGAATTTGTTGTAGCAACTGACATGAGTTTGGGGACACGAGGTATGAATAGCCTTCAATATATGAACAATTCCATGAAGAATCTTTCGATGCTACATTTAGAGATATGTTAGATAGGCAAATTTGACAGAAAATGTCTCCTTCGATGCCCTCCAAAATACCAGCAGTGCCTATATTTAATCCATAAACATCTTTAATAGTGATATTGTTGATATCTGGCAATGCATATGGATCATAACCATCATCTGGATGCTGACCATATTGACCATTGATCCTGATGGCATACTCGACATTAGTTAAGACAACGTTTGAGATGTAAATATTTCGCACATATCCACCACGCCCAGGTGATGTTTTGATATGGATTCCATGTAGAGAGTTGAAGATATTAATTTCTTCAACATGCACTTCTGATACACCACCTGACATCTCGCTTCCAATGGCAATGCCAGCACCAGATTTGGTTTCACCAAAAATACTTTGGATGCTAATGTTGGAGCTTGGATGTGCAAATGAGACGCCATATTCATCCCACCCACTCTTGATAACAATAAGATCATCACCAGTGCTGATGTAGCAATCCTTGATGCAGACATTGGTGGACGAATCTGAATAAATTTTCAAACAATTTAAATGATCAGAAGCTAATAAATTTGCAAGCTCATGCTTAGCTGGACATTATATGCCCTTCTTCTAGCTGCATAAATCACAAGGGAATTGTGTTTTAAGCAAATTACAGGTTCCTCGGATCTAAATGGCTAAGTTGAACAAGACCTAAAATGTTAGTTACGAGTAAAAAGAAAATGATCACAACTTTTTGGTGCAAACATAAAGTTGGAGCTATTATTTTCGATCATTTAATGATTATTCTTAATAACATGCAAAGACATAGGATAGTTTACATTTGATATTTAGTTGCAGCATATAATAAATTAGACTAAACATGGAGTTACTAGGTGCATGAGGTTCTTGTCAATGCACATATTAAGAATTCTCTAGGTAATACACAATCTTACTAGCCAATACATCACAAAGGAATGTTTCTATCATTCACATATAGCCTCCAAATCTAAATGGGGGCAGCTTAACAATTCTCTAGGACTGCTCTCTCATATGAACCAAACTCTAAAATGACACAAGCCAAAAAAAGATTGCCTCACGTCGAGTCACCTTAATGTAATGCACCATTAATGAAAAACAGCACAAATCAAGATCAATTATGGAATATTGTTTAATTTGTTTTATCACATAAAGAAAATAATGCTTTAATTTAGTGAATTATTTCACGATAGAGTTATCATTTATGAACAATCCATATTTCTTCTTCACTATATTTTGAGTGCATTCCATCATTCGTCTTTCCATTGACATAAAAGACATAGACCTATCACGCTTAGCCACAAAATAAGCTATAAACATTTAATATTTCAATATCAGTTGGCACTATCACTTCACAAAACTGCAAAGAAAGAATATGAAAAAATATTAGCATCTTCAAAAGAATGTACTCCTAAGTCAATCAAATTTAAATTATTTGTCCCTGGATACAATAGAGGATGCATGTAAAAGTATTTCAGTGATATATAACTATAAAGCAAATTGTAAGCAAATATTTACAAAAAGTACCTTACACCCTTACGTAGCTGGCCCTCAAAAGAATTGCCTTTGGATTCTAGCATATGCCTTCCTTCTTTTATCAACTAAAAACTCAATGGCAAGTCATCCTCATCATCTCCGAAGCATCACCCTTCACATCATGTGATATAAAAGTTAAATTCAGCTACATCAGCTAGAATTTTCAACTACATATTGACCCTTCTGACTCCCTTCTATATTTCAGATTTTTCTATCATGACACATCAGAAGTGCATGATTTTTGGCAAACTCAATGGCAAGTCATCCTTACCGTCTCCAAAGCATCACCCTTCACATCATGAGAAATAAAAATTAAATTCAGCTAGAATTCTCAATTACATATTGACCCTTCTGACTCCCTTCTATATTTCAGGTTTCTCTGTCATGACACATCAGAAGTGCATGATTTTTGGTTCTATGTGATTGGCACTTAATTCCCTAGAAGTTTTATGATCTGCACTTTTGCTAATTTGAATGACATGCACTTCAAATTTCTTCCTATTTGATGTTTCTATAATATCGCCTATCTGGCCAAGCCAAATCACCTACAACCTGTATAACTCCCATACGTTGCCCATCACCACCACCACCTCCAACCAGTAAGAAACCCACCCAAAAGCTGACTGCACAGATCTTACTAAGAGAAGTTTACTGATTCGCACCATCCTATGTGAAATAGCACAACTTTCTAAGCTTGATCACTATAAATGGACCCTAAGGAATATATTAAACTTACGAAACAAGTTAATGTATTCTGAACACTTTCATAATGAAAACCTAAACCTCTGCCCAACCTCTATCCTTCCCTTAAAAGAGATGGGACTTTAAGCATGCTTTGATAGCCGAGCCATCAATAAGTTCATAACCATGCATCACTTCCCTATGCCATGCTTGATGATATTGCTCTTACTTAGTCAATGGACTTGCCTTCTTTTAATGAAATTAATTTATAGAGTAGTTTTCACAAGATCAAATTTCATAAATAAGATTAAAAGAAAGCCAACTTCAACATCTTGGATGGCCTTTACATCTATTTTCTTATTTCGCTTTTATCCCTTTGATGGACACACATTGTACCTTCATTTTAGTCATAAATCATATACTAAGATCTTCTATTAGCAAATTCCTTATGGACTACGGTGATAATATGTTGATATATAAGACTGATGAGAGAATGACTTGAACCATATTAAAATAATTTTAGATAACCAAAAATTATACATCAACCTTAAAAAACACATTTTCTCACAACTTAAGCTACTAATCTAATGAAATCTCTATCAATCACATCAAAAATCGTGTCATTCTAAATTGGCCTACATATAATTCTTTGAAATTGATTGGTTCTTTTTATAATATAGCCATTTTTTGCTTCCAATTTATTAGGGGGTATAGCACAATAATGGCTTTACCAAAAAATGGCATGAAATATAAATTCCGTCGGCCATCTTTAGCCGGCTCTGCATTTAAATTGATTAAAATAAAAATTATTGAGTCTCCTTTATCTCCTTAACTTTTAAAAATGTTTGAGGCAACATGTCAGTGATTCCTTAGGACTCAAAGATAGTGTTTTCCTTGGCTAAGAAGGACATCGCATGGTCTAGTTTAGTGAAATTTTGCATAAAGCTAACCAATATTAATCGACTTATGATCATGAGGTGCATGCAATTTTACAAACCTTATGGCACTAGAATCATTATCTTTTGACATATAAATTTGTTCTAAACTCTTAACCATGAAACATGAAGTACATGCACTCCTAAAAGAAACTAAGCACATGCAACATTGAAAGGGTATCATTTCTTCCAAAATATACTTTCACCCTAAATCATCTACAGAGTACTTGATAGCATACACTCGCTCATAACCACAATGTCTGAAAGAAGATTACACTTCTTATTCTGACTTCAAGGACATTTACTCTTCACCATCCATTGATAGTCATCCTTCTTCTGCCTTTGCACTTAATATTGGTTTTCTATATTAAGGATCATCACCATGCATTCCCTGCATATCACAATGAAACTTTGTTAACAATGAGTTACATAGGAAGGCTTAGTCGATCATGTGTGTTGTGAGTAGTTAAAACGTCCAATAAAGAATCAATTAAATTGGTCCTCCAGCAAACATGATGCAGCAACAGGCAAAGCAATCAAACACTTTAAAGGCTAAATACACCTTCGCCCATCCCAAATTCACCATGATAAAGTATTAGTAATTTTATTCTTAGTTTACAGCGAACCAACCATGGATATGACGATATCTGTTATGATTAATAGATTCTCCAAAATACATCTCATTTTGCCTTGCACCAAACTGTGGATGCCTCACATATAATTTAGTAATTCTTTCAAGAAATTATACACTTTCAAGGGCATCCCACCACCATCTTAATGTCCAACCATGACACCCAATTGTTGGGTATTTTTAATGCACTTTTGTAAATTTGTTGGCACTACCTTAGACTTTGTCTTCTTCCCAACCATAAACTAATGACAAATAGAAGTAGTCAACCACAATTTAAGAAATATAAAGGCATATCATGTCCGATATTCTAACATTTCTTTTAAGAACATCATGCCCGATATTCTAAACCTTTCGAAACCTTGAACAATATAGGACTGAATTATTATTTATTTGATTTTCCTCAAGAGTAGAATATTAATATGAAAGGTATATTGTCTTTGAAGGCAATTTTAAATCCACTGTGGTGCTCGCTATTGTTATTGCAAAAAAGTTTCTCTTATGAATATTTTTACTGTTCCTACCTTACCCCCATACTGCTCTTTCTGCAATCTAATTTGAGCAGCTCAAATCATAGTTGGGCCCTACCAGGCAACATAGCTTCCTTGTTCGATGCTCTAGACTTCCACTTGTTCAGAATACTGGAGATCTTCTAAAGAGGTATGCGGCATTCTCCAAAAAAGAGTTCTTACTCGAAGGAAGATGATGCAATGCACTATCGACATTAAAAAACAAAGTCATTGATAACTGACACGTCAAAATTGATCATCAAATATTATCTGTTTTATTTTCTTTTGTAAATATGATATCTTATTTTGGTGAAGTCTTTTATTTATAAAAGATCCAAATTTATTTCTCTTAATTGCATTTTAATTGTTTTTCATTTTTTTTTCCTTTGGATGTAAAAGCTACTCTAAAATTAGAGAATGCTTGTTAGAAGATTTCACATGATACGAATCCAATGGAAATTACAAGAAAATAACACCAAAAGTTCACTCCCCTAAAGCTGATCAGTAATTCCCTCCACATCCTTTTCCTCTATCTCACTTGGATGAATTGTTCCTTCCTGCTTGCCTTTGGAGGACTTGTGACACAGGCTTCCCTTCTTTTATCCATCAGAGAACACTGAGACAAGTAAATCTCCTTAAAACTATCCCCTTCCACATCCACATAAATCCTCCAACTTCAACCCTTCATATGCACGAGATTCTAAGATGTTGTGAGGCGTGAAAAATAGGAATATGCGTTGAATAAATTGTTATTTGGGTACAATAATAAATTTAGGCTATCCAATCTCTAAAAAAAGTATGAATCTCTTGTAAATTCTTCCAATAGTTAACCTTTTAACTTGTGTAGATTCTTCTCTCCAGGCTGATCATCTTATATATGTCATCAGCTCTATGATTATAAAAATTCAGAATCACAAAAAAAATGATTTAAACTGATCCATGTTTGAGTTATTTAATCTCTAATGATTTTTAAACCTTAGGTAGATTCAGGAATTAGTTTAACTTAGAAAATCAAATGAACAAAAACAAAGCACGATCTAAGTTATCAATAAGAAAACATAAAACTGGCACTTCTTAAACTCATGGAATTTGAACTCAAATCAAGGTGATCAAGCAGATGCATAAAGAGCTCGCTAAAGGCAAATTATTTATAAGAATGGAGGGTTAGTGATATGCTGAATAAAAAAAAAACATAAGATACTCAAATTAAAATAGTTAAAAAGCTGAAATCTACCTGGATCAATCCCATCAGTATTCGGTGACTCTAATGGAGCAAGGATTGTAATGTTCTGAATGAATACCTGACTGTGTAATGCAAAAAAGAAAAAAAAAATGTGTCAAGTATCAATAATCCCATAAACTCCATCAAAGAACCCCTCTAATATGTGAAATGAAAATAAAATAAGCAGGGAAAGAAAACGAACTTGCAATAAACAGGATGAATTGTCCAAAAGGGGGAGTTTTTGAATGTAAGATTTGAGATGACAAGCCCCGTTGAGTACATCAATTCTACAAGATGAGGCCGTGTATAGTTCAGTGTGTTGTTCCTAAACCAATCCCACCAAATACTTCCCTGGCCATCTATGGTCCCATTACCTCCTAGAAAGAAAAGAGAAAAATAAGTGACAAACTAGGGGTCGGAGTGACTGAAAAGACTCATGTTCTTTAGTAGAGTCCAAAGTATTTCCACCGTGATATTTATAGAATTTATCTCATGTGTTATAGTCAGCTAACCTGTTATTACTACATCTGTGAGATTATAACCATAAATGAGGCTTTGATGCCTTGCACCAGGTAGCTCTCGACCTCTCCCATAAGAAGGTAATGGATCTATAATAGGCCAATCATAAGGGTCCTGAAATGAGATTTGGTTAGAATTCATACAATTTTGGTGAAAATATCAATTATAAACTGTCAAATGATTTATTAAGAGGATTCACCAACAAATATAGAAAACAGGGGAAAAGAACATACTTATAGATTCAATCATATATGAAATAGTTTAATATGAAAATATATCTTTGGTGTGTTTCACAGCAAGGAGCAACAGAGCGAAACTCAATTCAAACATTACTAAAGCTTAAAAAAACATATTATCTTGCCTACTACAGAAGAATTATAATTTTTTAGATAAATAAAATTTTCTTCTTTTTTTTTCAAAATAGGAAATTAGGTCAATGTAAACAACTAAACATACAATACTGTGCAACTTACCAAAGCTATGAATGCAACTATTCAACAACATCAATTTCATGTAAGCATAAATTGTATGGTGCTTAATATTGTACTTTCTAACCCTCGCAATTTAGCATAAATATCTTCCAAACACAAGGCTGATGATAACTTCAACATTATTTGATCAAACATGTCAAAATGGCTTAATAAAAGTTTCATGAACAAGCAAAATGAAATGTATAAACTTTTGTGAAAAATAACAATCCTATGTAGATAGAAGTGCCTTACAGCATAACAATAACAATCTATATAACTCACCAATGATCCTATTATAATGGCATCTTTGTCCAAAGACAAAGTGAGATGGCTGATGAGACTAAAACTACCCGTCACCCATTTCCCAGAGGGCACAAAGAGCTGAGCACCACCCTTGTCAGAAAATGAATTGAGGTAAAATATTGCATTTTGAAATGCTTTGGTGTTGAGGGTTACACCATCACCGACGGCACCAAACTCTGTTATGGAAACACTATGCGGCCTTTCTGTGCCTGACTTGGAGTACTTACAATCAAAATTGTGTGCATTAGCCCATGGTGAATTGCCTATAGTTGCAAGCACTAAAACTAAAAGCACCAAAAAGAACTGAAGCACCAAAAAGAACTGAAAAAAAAAAAACATATATCAGAATAAAAGATCAGGGTGGATGTCTAGTTTAATTCATGAAAATAACAACCAAACTGAAAAAAGAGATATTAGATGGACATGGTATCACAACTACACATTTAGAAAGGGTTGATTAAGAATCAGAGATATAAAAAGACAAATTTTTATAATAGCTTGGTTAGAAGTATAATTTAAAAGCCTCAAAAGCTGAGAACAACAGGCGAACTAAAGTAGATCTACCGTACTGTTTTGCTAGAGAAGCATTCTTTTCATAGTATTGTTTCTAGTTTTAGCTTGTAGATATCTTTCTTGGTGGCTACAGAGAATTTAGGACAAGGATTTGAGTATTAATTTAAACCTTAGAAGGAAACAAAAACTGCAAAATTTATAAAAAAAAGGGGAGGAAAAAAAAAAGCTCAAAAACACATGCAGATCACCAACAAAATACAGCACATAGGGACAGAATAGAAATCAACATTCATCTGATATAAACCCCCTTTTCATTTTACAAGAACAATAAGAAGCCCCAAAAAATTAGCAAACAATCACCCCAAGAAGGAGTAAAATTCCTCAAAATTAACAGAAAGAACATTTCAAAAATAAAGAAAAGGTCTCAATTGATAAAATGCAGGAAGACCAACACATAAGATTAACAAGCAAAATCACTCACACTTGCAGATCTCATTTGACAGATTTCCTGATGAAGCCGAATAAACGAGCCATGTACTCCCATTGATCACAATGCTACAAAATTAAAGACTTTTATTTGTATGGAAAGAAACCTCTGCCAGTCCAAATCAAAACAACATCAATGATAACAGTCCAAGTGATCGCATTGAATAAGCCTTTTGTTTTTACAGAGAAACAGAGAAGTGGAGAAAAGAAGGTGGAGCAAAAGAAGAAAAGAGGAAGATGGTAGCTTGTGCTGTCCTGCGAAAGAAGCAGCTCCCAGGGCACCACCTTTTCTCTTCCAACAGGCCAGCAGTAGAAGGGACACTCTTCTTGAGCTTTCATTCAGGGCATGTCCCAAACGGAGTAAGCCCAATTCGTTGTTCGGGGTCTCTGAAGCCTAATCGCCTCCGCGACACAGAAGCAGAGATGAGGAAAAAAAAAAAAGAAGAAAGATGGAATCTTTTTGGATCTCTACCTCGTTGCCTTTAAATGGCTTTACAGTTCCAAGACCGGAGAAATTTTTACAGCTCCGCTCACCATCTTCTGTGTCGCCTGCTGGGCAGTTACAGTTAAGAAATCCGTCAAAGGAAGCAATGAAGAGCATGTGGCCCTTTGGATACCCATCATCTATGGCAAGAAAGGACAGAATAACACTTACTTTCCAAAGCTAACGGTCGCCGCTTGAATTCCTGTAAGTTTTCCACTGATTAGAATAGAGAAAACGGACGTTTTAATTTTTGACCCATGCGAGCCATTTGAAATTAGATAATGGCAATTGGCAGGAAATTTAATTTTGGGGATAATAATAACTTTCCATATAAATTTGTATTTAAAACAAGGTTACATTTGTTAATCATATAACTGACAAATTTACTAAATTTAATTTTTTCTTTGTAAGTTGATATTATGAAAGTATTTTCTAACCTATAACCATATCAAGATAGGGATCTCATTTGTTTGCTTGCAAAATATATTATAATTGATTAAAATATTTATATTTTCATGAAAAATTTTATATCTTCTTAAATCATGTGGATAGGTATGTATGTGTCTATGTATATTTAAGTTTGTTATATCTGATGAACTCTTTTATCTAAGTGAAAGTTGCTATATCTAAGAACATATTATGTATATAGGTAATATATTTTGCTAGAGATAAAGTATTTATATATAAATAAATAATGCTTTTAGTAATTAAATTTTACATTGGTCTATTTTAAATAATCACTGGCTATTGTAAAATGTAATCTATTTTTTGTGTGGATCTTTTTTAGTGAGTATGAATATGAAACGCTAATTACAAGTTTATCATGTCAATGAGGAAAATAAATAAATGTAAACACTTGCAATTTCAAATATTCCTTTTTTATGCTAAATGTTAAATATAAAAATATATGATTTTGATGAAATGGTGGCAATTCTCCATCAAAAGCATATAAAATAGCAATGCTAGTTTGATTAGAGAATCACATCATTGTTTTAAACTTAATGTTATTTACATGTTATCTCTTATTCGAAAAAAACATAAATAAAAGAAAATTATGTTATTTTTTTTCTTTGGGCAATGTGAAGGCTTAAATTTGACATTTTGGGATTATTCATTCTGTTTACAAGTAATATGCTACACTTAAGAAAATTATAACTTGGGATGAAATTTTTAGTTGATTGGAAATTACTCGTCTCATTTTACATGGATATGTGGATTTTATGGTCTGTAAAGAGTGACAATGATCTAATGATGAGAACTAAAAAATAAAAAAATATGATATTAACATTGGACTTGAATTTAAGGCAGACACTTTATCATTATAATTTAAATTTCAACTTTAATATAATATAGCCTATAGCTATGAAACTTAGGAATTGAAATCACACAAATAGCTAATGAAATGCAACAGTCTTATAATCATGTTTGAAAAAAACAACCCTCTAAGCACATAAGCGTATTTAAATCAAAACAACAAGCCTCTAGATAGGGTCAACATGAGAATAAGATAAATCACTTGCAACATCACCACTAAAGCAAAGATTAATTGATAATGAATAAGCAAGAAATGATGGGCTTTAATTTTTGTAGTTATCTTGCTCTCAATCAAATGCCGAAGAAAATCCATTATGTAGAATTAGAATGTTGTATATATGAATATTAGTCTAAAATTTCTATTGATACTCACAAGCTACGCCTTTGATGGATATTGAAGTTACTTCAATATTTATTGCATGTCGCTATTTCATGAAGGGCTTGATGCTATTTATTTGTAAATTTTACTTAGGCTAAACCATTAAATATGACTTATAGAGAAGTCATTAGTGATGAAACTAGATGATGTATCATTTAATATTATAAATTAGGTTAAAAGTTTTATCATCCCAAGCTTGGATGCATAATTATAATTTAATATCACTTATATTTTTAATAATATTAATTTATTTAAGATATTTTAAGTGTATATTAACATCATGTCTATCCTGAATAATTTAAATAATACTTATTTATTAATCTTTTTAATTAATTTTAACATTTTTAATAAGTCTATGTGAATATCATATTTTATTTTCTTCTATTTAATTCCAAATTTCTTGAAACCCTCATCTTAGCCTTCTGACATCAAAATTATTGAAGCCCTCATCATCTTCACCCTTCGCATCCACCTTCTAACAACAGTCTTCTCCCCATCTACAACTAATTTTCAAAATGATCGCCTTCTCCTTCTTTTGCATTCAAATTCTTTAACGTCTCATTTTATCCCATCTCTTGCTCAAATTCATGAAACACTTATCTTCTCCTCTTTCAAATTCAAATTATGGAAACACTCATCTTCTTTTACCCACCACACCCAAATTAAATTCATTATCCCTTTTATCTTAAAAGTTCTTAGATTTATAAATGAAATTTTTCAGTCATTCTAAAATTAGTCATAATACATCTTGAATATAATGTGTTTGATATAAACAACCAACCAATTTTTTCAAAATTTAAGAGACAGAGAGAGAGAGAGAGAGAGGATGGATTGTTCAATACTTTGGAGATCCATGATGCTCTTGCTAGAGAATTTAAATTATTAGAATTTAGTATCATTATAAAGTTGATATTTTAATAAATAATATTTTTTTTTGTATTAAAAAAAATGTTATATGCATAAAAATGTGTTACAAAAGTATTGATATTTAAATAACTATTGGATGCTTTTAAAATGATCGTCTTAACACAAATCATGATAGGTTATATAAAAAAATTTAATTTGAGCATTTTAAAATTGACGCTCATCAAATCCAAGTTTTTTTATAATCTCTCTGACATTTTTAATATAAGTCAAATATTAGAAAAGACAATAAATTATAGCCCTTTGGATTCTTTCTTCATCTTTCCTTTATCCTTCTTTGTCGCCAATGGTGATTTGGCTTTAAATATCTTGAACTACAAATGGGAGGTCCTATTATGAACGACTGCTCAAAAAGAGAGTCCCTTCTACCACTAATGCTTGAAACAAGCCTATTGGAAGGTAAAACGAGAATTTTCTTGCATCTTCTTCATCTAATCTCCTTTCTTTTATATTCTTCTCTCTTTCTCCCTAAAAATAAATGTTTATTTAATATGGACACTTGGGACTATTTCCCTTGATAGTTCATTTGATTGAGTTTGGTAGTAGTTACTGAACATTGGAAGTGCTGAATTATTTTTTTAATAGAAAGAAAAGCATTTCAAAAATACAATCTTCCATCTTCATTCTTTTTTTTTTTTCTATATAAGGGTGGTGCTCAGCTCTTTGTGCCTTACAGAAAATGGTTGACTATTTGTTTTAGTCTCATCAATTTGCTCACTTTGTCCTAAAAGGATGCCATTAATTTGAGCATTTTGTTACCATATAGAAAATGATCATATCCCAAAGGTATCAACCTTATAGGAATTGATTCTTGCCTAAATGCAAGTATTAATTGGTGCAATATTTGTTACCATACAATTTTTTGCTTATCCAAAATTAAAATTGTTGAATAGTTGCATTAATAAGTTAGGTAAGTTGCAAAAATTGTATGGTTAGTTCTTTACCTAATTTTCTAATTTGAAAAAAGAAATAAAGCATTATACTGCGAACAAAAAAAGGGATAAAATTCTTTTAAGAAAAGCAATTTTCTTAGTGTTGTTAAAATTATAGGATTTTTAGCTTCAATAATATTTGAATTGAATTTCATTTTGTTGCTTCATGTTGTAAAATCCATCAAAGATATATTATTATATTAGACTATGGGTTCGTTTGGGGCAGCTTATAAGTGCGGGCAGCGTTTTCAAAACGCTGATGTACTGTTTGGTTCACGCGTTTCGCCAGCTTATCTGAAACTGCGTTTTTACACTAAACGCAGACCGCGGGTCGAGCCCTGCGACCGGCCCGCGGGCCGCGTTTCAGGATAAACAACTTATCTTGAAACGCACAAGCTGCCCCAAACGGACCCTATATCATATTTGATTGAATCAACAAATATGTTCTTTTCCTTTTTTTTTTTATTTATCCTTGAATCCTCTTCATAAGACATTTTATAGCTTGTAACAAATTTTTTCAATAAACATTAATAAATTATAACCTAATTCATTTGAAGCCCCTTACAATTGCCCTATTATTGATCCCTTACCTTTATATGGAAGAGATCGAGAGCGATTAGATTCAAAGCATCAAAGCATTAGTCATGGTTATAATATAATATACATGATAATAATAGTTAGCAGACCATAAAATAAAATAAACATTCTATAACTATCATTGTTGCATGCCAAAAAATCATGGTGGTTGAGTGATAATTTTAATATCTTAACGTTGAACAAAGATCTAACCCACAGACGGATAATATAAAGTAACATAAAGATTTTTTGCGTAGAAAAATCTTAAGGTAAGAAAATTATTTGGGCATAAACCAATCGAAGTAATTTAATATGTGAGTAAATATACATGTTTACTCTTCTTTTGAATTAGATAAGATGAAATTACATTATTGATAATCACAGATATGCAATAGTGGTTCATCTATAATAGTCATAATTGACTAGTGTTGGGACCCATATCAATTAGAAAATTCAAGCCACCTATTGACACATTGTAGTCTCATATGTGTGGTTTTAAATCCTCAATGTTTAATTGAGTCGATCAAAACTAATATATTGAAACTCATGTTGAGTTCCAATAGGGATTGGGAATGCCCTAGGAAGACCCTTTAGACTTAGAAGCTTTTAATCTTTGACACACCATAATTCACATAACACCATATACATATACACCACAATTTACAGACAATAATTCACTAACCAATATTAAAATTAAATTTAAAACGACATGGAAGTCTTCGCGACAGAAATTTGAGATCCTTCGGAACGGGTTGAACGACTCATATCGGAAGCGTTTTGTTCGACCTTGGCCAACGCTCAAGCGAAGGCCGATCAAAATTTTGCTTGTCAGACGGCTCCAATCGGATCGATGAATGTCATTTGTCGCGCCGCTAGCAAGTCGAACTTAAATTGGTCCGATCGCCGATGTACTTGCCCAGTCGACCCTAGATGATGAAACATACCATGGGAGCTCATCCAGAAAGTTGAATTTACTTAAGGGAAATATCCAT